CCTGGCGATTCATGCTCCAACACAGCTGAATCAAATGATTGAATTACCTATTCAGCATGTTTGGCAAACACCTACACGTCGGTGTAGAACATCTTGTATTGCTTAATAATACTTGCTACTGTGGATTCTCAAACTTGAAGGTATTCATATGTGGTCTTGTAGTGGAGTTGTGAACCGCCACAATGAACAGCCGCCGTTCTTCGCTGAGCGCAGTCTTTTGATAAAAAAAATGTTAAGCACTTTGAACAAATGTTTGACCAGATTAGAATGAAAAAGTCCTCAAGGCAAGGTTACACCTGAGTTTTGCCTCAATTCCATCTTCAACAATATTCCAGTGTGAAATTTTCTTTGCGATGTATAGGTTCTAGAAAGTAGTGTCAACAATAACAACCAGAAACCTGAAGATTCAGAACAAAACGTCCACGTAAGACCCACTGTTTCCCAGCAGCACTGTTGAAAGCCCATCAGCTCTTCTCTTTCCCACAGTACATTTGGGTCACATGACTTCTCTTTAAATGTCTTATGAACCATCCTACATCATTACATTTAAGTAAACAACAACAACATTTATTTGACCTGCTATGGTAATTTTGTTGTTTGCTCTGCTCTGAGAAGCACGACATCTTTGTTTGCTACTTCTTTTGCCAATTCACATTGGCCAACACAAATGTTGTCAATAATTATCAGGTTTTCCATCATTGGATACCATTTAAGTCCAGCTGTGGAAATACTAGCAATGAGCAACATAATTCTTGCAACATCTTACAACTCTGTAGGGATTGCTAAAGAACGCTGTAAAATTCCCCCACCTCCTAAAACAGAAATGAACAGCAAGAGTAAAATGAAAGAGAACTGCACTAAGGTTCAACATTTGAGTGACGAGGCATGACAGGTATCTCAGACATGCTTGGACAGATAAGATGACATCATGCAGAAATGTGCTGCAAGTCAAGTGAGCTCTGTGGGAAGCAATTTAGTCTATATTAGCACAGCAGACACAGGTTTAAGAGTGACACCTATACTTTTAAACTGAATGAGTGGGTGTATCCAACATTTTAACAACAGGTTTTAGTTTCTCTTTTATTGTAGTGAAAATTTATAGTCTGAAAAAATGCTTAGGATCCTGACAGCCACTAACTTTGGGCAAACAAGAATCCTACAACAAAAATATAAAAAATGCTGCTAATCAGAGTCTTTCTTCAAAACCACATGCAATTAAAATGATTTTTACAACAGAACCAATAGCAATTTAACGAAGCTCAGCTCATTTTGGTAGCTTCTCCCGTTTGCTTTAACAAAATCACATGCAGAAAATGAAGGAGTATTGACTGAAGCCTTTCAGTCAATACTCACTTTGTAGACCTTCCTAATAAAGTATAAAGATATAAACTTGTTTTGATTTACATTCCCAGCTCCATACCTAGTCTGCTAGGTCTTAAAAATGTCATGGGACTGTGCCCCCTATGCTTGTTTTCTTGCTTCTTTTTAATATGCGGAAAATTAAATTAAAGTCCAATTAACAAAGTGTGTACCGTTTTGTGTATGGCCTCTCTGTTTTTGTTCCATTATTCTATGTATGCTCTGTCACCTGAGGCCACATTTCTGCTTGCCCATAAAAGCAACCCTGAAGGGAAGTTTGTTTGTGTGCTGTGCACCTTAAGACAAAGAACAGCATGTATTTGAAAAGAAAAAACTCTTTACTCCCAAAAAACAAACAAACCTCCTTCCCAGGACCACTTTCGTAATTTAAAACAAGCTAGTAACACACATAAGTTTGCTTCTGCTTATAACCACAGTGCAGAGGGACATCTATAAATGGTAACACGTCTTATGGTGAAACTGTACATGATTGAGACGTATGCCGGAGGTGATGGGACAGTGAGGAATTTTCCTCTTGCTTAAAATTCAGCCTTGATCATGTTGGCCAGCAGAGAGGTGGAGGATTTAATCACTGTCAGCCACTCTTTTGTCTCCCCTCCTTTATCTTTCAGGTTTTTTTAAAATCTATGTGAGCCTTGTCAGACTCTCATTCTCCTCCTGTTCTTTTCAATGCCATTTGAAAAGATAAGACACTTGCTGATTGGTGGTGCTGACAAACACAGTTTCATCTTGCCCTTTTATCTGCCTTTAATAACTATCCCACCCAGTGCACTGCACCCCCCACTGTGCCCTTTTTTTGTGCATTAGAGAAGATTTTCCAGAGACAGATCAAAAACTAGACTTTGCAAATGTTGGCCTCATTGATTGGCTAAACGGTCAATATTTTTAAAAGAACAGTGGCAGACATCTTGAGTGTTATGCAGTGTTTGATTTGTGCTCAGAGTGTTAAAATTTCCAATTCATAAAAAAACACGTCAGGGTTGAAAATCCGAGGTTAAACACTAAGCACAAGATCAAAGATCAATATGACTTACTCATACATAAAAAATATTCATAGTTGAACTTATAAACTGTTAGGATCTGAATTCTGTGTCAGATTTCTGATATCTAGGAGCAGAGGATACCGTACCATGTTCATGAGAGAAGATTCAATCGGGTTTTACTACTGTTTAAAAAAAAATACTAAATTCTTTTCATTTCACATTGAAAGAATTGGTTAACACAGCTATTAAACATGTTCCATGAATCCATGATAGACAGAGCTGGAAACTCAAAAGTATAAAACTGAGTCTTTGCAACAAAAAAATATTCAACCTTCCCGTCACAGGTTGACCACCAGCACGACTCGATATGCAAGTGTATACAGTCTCCTTTTAAGTAGCTTCTTACACATCTCTGCTTCTTCCGACTTAATTTTAAACGTCTGTCTGATGCTGAAGGTATGCATTCTTCAGTCTTCTTCACTCACTAACAGCGTTCACACTGAAGAGTGTTCATTACCTCTGTCTGTTAGCATTCAGATATGGGAGGAATTTCCTGATTGTGAAAAGAATACCAGCCCCTGGTCAAGCTAAAAATCAACAGATTCCCCGTCACCAGTGCATTAATCAGTGCAACTCTAAGCAAAGTAACCAAAATCTCACAGGTTTTCCGACTTTCAACTGGAACTAGATTAAGTCTGGCGTGATGTCATTTTGTGATGAGAGCTCCAGGCTAATCAGAAGACCCTATTAAAATAATGTTGGGTGTCTTAAGAAAACATAATGAACAGGAAGGTAAGGCAAAAGGGTGAAAATATTTCTTTTGAACATGCTATAGAGAAGTGCTGACCAGTACCACCAGCCTGCTTTGGTCCTTCGATATTTGTCCTTTCACTATAGCTCCTTAACGAGATTTTTTTTTCTTTGACAATGGAGAAGTGCACTTGTAAACAAACCTTCAAGAGACTAACTACCATCTGAGAGCCAAATTAAGCCGGCAGGTGAGTAACACCTCCTGGCTGGGGCTTTAAGTACCTCAGTTCTTCAGTTTGACAGAAAGAGGAGCCACCTCAGCAGCCCCTGCTGGTATCTCTTGCCTGTGAAGATCAGTATGCACAGCTGCATGCTAAGCAGCTCTGGCTGCATAAAGTCAAACAGATCTGTTACGGCTGTGTCTAAAAGTAAAGAGGCAGCTTTGTATTTTTTACAGGATTTTGTTGGAAAAAAAAAAGTTATGTGGTTAAACTGACTGGCCTTACTTGACATCTAAATTTGAATGGAATGGATTTATTCTGGGGGGTGTTGCAAGATGCAGCTGCAGCTGTGGCTCTCCAGCCAATAACAACAGAGCAAATATGTCAAAGTATTGCTTAATACAATCTAAACTCCATGCAGATTTTGACTTGATAGAAAACTGATTTAAACCAGAATCCTTAGAGACAGGTATATATTGTGATAAGTAATTGTAAATATAAAGTAAATATGCCATCCAGCAGAAGTGCTGTTTAAGCATTCTAATTGTTAGTTTAGGTGCTGTACGAAACGAACAATTGATACAGTTTGCCAATTACTGAACAACGTGCCAACGTGGTCAGCTTCTCCGTTTTCCTTTGTTTTATAAAGGTAATTTACAAGTTTATGGTAACATCTTGCCCCTCAAAAATTAGCTTTCACACACATTTGCCTTTGATAACATCAAATAAGGCATAAATCATCTGATCAGTAATAAAAGCAATATATATTTATATTCTTTTAAATTTCACATTACTCTTGAGTACTCACAAATCCCACAATTATAGAGGTATAGCACATTTTATGTGAGGCAAATAAGCATGGAAACAAATCCGATTGAAAAATCTAAGCAGGAACATACACAGAAAACAATCAATGTCACTTTAATTATTCACAGCATTTATCACCATGGGTAAGAGGGCAGTGAGAGTCAAACACTTTCTCACACACAAGGATGAATCAATCACGTCATAAGCTATCAAAAGTTGCATGTCCTCCATACAGTTCACTAATGCCAGCTGAACTGCTCGCGCCTCTTGTGATGTCATGAACCCAAATACACACGCAGCAGAATTTGCCGTTCTGAACCCATTTTAAAACTTTGTGCAGGCTAATGTTAAATCCCACAATCGATATCCATACTTCACGACCCACAGGCTGATGTTTTCTTGACAGGGCACTTTTACTTTTAATACTGACAAAGCATGCAATAGTGAATGGTATCTTTAACTGAGGTCAGACAAGTCAACAGCTGCTGGGGCGGTGCAGACCTGGCTCGGCTCACTTCCACCATCTGGCCCAGACTCAAAAGGTGTCAGTCGAGCACGTACGCCGAACTTACCAAGACAAATATTCATGCTAAAATGTTTCCAAAGCCGAGCCAAAGTGCACTCACCTGTTGAAAGCTTTGCGTCTTGGGAAAAAAATACACCAAGTTTTAAAATAATAATAGTAATAATAAAAATATGAAAAAAACGCCAATCGTTAAAAAGTAAAGGGGATAGTTATCCTGCGTCCCGCTCCAAAAGGAAGAGCAAAAACACGAGTCAAAACACCTGAGAAGGCTCGGCTTTCTTCGCTCCGCTGCGCAGCCACGCGTTCGTCACATTGACAACAGCGGGACGAGGCGACGTCAGAGGTTCAAACTTTAAAGTCCTCCGAAGTTAGCCTAAAGCGGGGAGCCACAGCCTGAGTGGAAAAGGTAATAATGCCCTCGGTCCTGCAGCGTCTTTATAGTCCGTGTGTGAGGAGGAACGAGGTCGGTGTGAGCTGCACAGTTACCTGACTCCTCTTATTACAGGGAGGCCAGCCCTCCTCACACTGCAGCCTCATGTTTCCTGTTATTTTCCCTCTGAATGGCAGCGGAGTAGACAGACTCACACGGACTGGGCTTCCCTCTAGGAACAGGTTGAGATGCATCACCTAACACGAATTTTCATCCTGAGACTTACAGCCTTTTTACACAGCAGTTTAAATTAACGTGGTATTTACGCTCACCCTGCATCTCTCACTTGGTGTAAAAACAGTTTAGTTTATTATTACATTAGCGAAGTAAGACCATAACAATTATGACCCTAAGTTCTTAGAAGTACTGAATTTACTGAATTTATATTTAAAGACAAACGTGCATCTTCACATTTTTAGCTGGAGCGTAAGCAGATTAAAGCGGACAGAGAAAAACCGGTGCACGTTGTCATATTGTCAGAATATCAGAATATGTTAAGGGTGTCTTGATGACACCCTTAAAATATTCACTGGTCTGTGTAAAACATCAGTAAGGCAGCTGAAAATGCAGCACGTCCAAAATGCAGCTGCAAGAGTCCTGGCCAACACTGACACAAATGGACATCACACCACTTTATAAATCATTGGTCTAGCACTGCTTAAGGCCCAAAGAAGATTTCTTACCTAGGACCTAACTCAGTGTTTCCATGACCAGAAGTAAACAAGCTGAGGCAAGTTTCTGTAGGCTCTTCAGCTTTGGAGCACTTACCTGAAAGCCAGAGATGTTGCAGAAACTGTTGGCTCCTTTAAATCAGGACTGAGAATATAGTTTTGTACTATTGCTTTTAATACAATAGTACAAAACTAAACGTCTGCCGGAGATGTGCTTTTACGCCTGGAAATGCAAGACGGGGAGTGTGATGGAGTTTGAGATTGAAGATTACATTTGGATTTAAATAAAAAAAATTAAACATCAATTTCCAATCAGGCTTTTTAACCAGTCTCTTAAATCTACCTTTTAACTTTAGTTTCTTTTATGCAGTTATTTAGGTGTTTGACATATTTACATCTCTTAAACACTTAAAAAGGGTTTTCTCTCTGCTTTGATGTTTCGTGAAGCACTTTGGATTGCCTTATGAATATAGATACAAACATTATAAAAAAAGGGAAAAAAATGTTACAACATACAATATAATAACTACAAACACTTTTAACATAAATTTAAAAATGATGCCACCATTTCAGAGTTGCCGACAGATTCTCCCTCTCGAGTTGTTGAGCTGTGCAGCTCCTCCAGAGTTACCAATGCCACCTTGGCTGCTCCTCTGATTAATGCTCTGCTTGCTCTGTCTGTCAGTTTCGGTGAACTCTTTTTACTAATTAGCTGACTTCTGTTCCCTAATTGTTGCAGGTGTCTGTTACATTAAATCCCAATAAAATGCAATAAAGTTTGTGAGTACAGCAAGAGATAAAGATAAATGGATATGAACATTTTGCAACGCATAGTAAGTTTGTCTTCCATTTGTTTCACGTGGATTGAATAATAGTGGCGCTGAAAACAGTGCAACAACTGCCAGAGACAGTAAAGTGAAAGAGCATGCAGTAGTAGGATGATTAGGTGCCGGTCTGTAATAAAACTTTAGATTGTTGTTATGATGATGTGTGCTATCAATGCATGTTTGGCTTATTATTTTATAAGATGAGATTAAGCAACAGACTTTGAATAAACCTCCAAGGAAACACTGCCATATAAGTGACTTTACTTTTATGACTTCGTGAAGCAATGCATCTGTTTAATATAATTATTTAGAAAACTCTTAAACTCTTGATTGTATGAGAAATTTTGCAGCATGTCAAATATGAAAAGCTAAATTCTTCTGTTTATTATATATATATATATATATATATATATATATATATATTTTTTTTTTTTTTTTTTTTTGCTGCAGGAAGAAAAAAAGAAGTCAAGGAAAAAAGAGGGGCAACTTTTTC